TGCCGAGGCTTGTTTTCTGGACATGTTCCAATTTGGCCTCATTTAGGTTTTGCAGCCTTTGGAACGGGCTGCAGATCAGAATCCTACATTCATTGCTTCATGTCTCCTTTGTGCTCTTTCTTGGATGCTACTGTTGAGGAAGGTTTTGCCAAAATGTGCGAGTTAAATCAGTCAACTTTCTGAATGCTGCTCAAATCAGTTTTGAGGGATCGATTGATTTTCATTGTCTTCTCGGAGAAACTAATTTTTGGTGGGAGAATGCATTACTTTAATCCATTTGCCTATGAATTATTTTAATCCTTTTGCCTATGTATTATTTTAGTCCATTTGATGGAATAACATTGTATCTGTGTACGAGCTCCCTTACCAGAAGGTGTAGCTTTCACAAGCAGAATGATTTGTATGGAGATGTTTCTCTGAGGATTACAAGCCATATGGCATTGACAAGCAAAGGAAATGGGGTCTTCTCAGTTACCAATCTTCTCTACAAGAGACAACCCAAGCATATGGAGGGCAAATGAAAGACAATGGTATAGTTCCTAATACTCCCATTTTCTGTTAGAAGAAGTTGCTGTGTGGTGTGGCTGAGAAGCCTTCCTCTGCCCTTGCTTTGAAGACTGTTGCATTTGGTTCAGGTGAAACCCGCCACAGACATGTGTTGTGCAGGTTTTGTGGCCAGGGGCAGGGGACAGAGTAAGAGGATTGTGGGGTTTGTGCTGCCGTTGTTGTGATACGCTGGATATTTCAGACATGCTGGTGGAAAAATATGGTTTTCATGCATGGAACAAGATTTCATCAATGCTTCTGGAGTAGGCTTTATGATGATGAAATTCTGTGTCTGTATCACAGTTCACTACAATAATCATGCTGTAATTTAGAAATTCAGGAGTTAAACCGCATACCTTAGATGACATACTGGTTGCAGGGAAGTGACTAGAAAAAGATTAATTGCCTCAGACCCGAGATTTCAGAGTAAATGAGCAGAAGTATGTAAATGCTAAGCGGCATATCATCTCAGTATTGTTCTTGAAGAGACTGTCTTCTACTAATAAAGCCAAAAGTGACAATAATGATGATTAGAAGCCAGAGGCATCAGCATCGTTAGGAGCCTGAAAACAGGAGCAGTCAGTAAGGGAGGCCTGTAATTGATGCTTCTGAGCAGGCCAGAACAAATGCTGATTTAAATAGTTCCTTGTTGGAAATGACTGAGGTAAGTAAGCAGTATTTTGATGGCATGCACACTGTGATGGCATAGATTAGAAATACTGCTTGAGTGTAGCACCATCTACTGGCCACAGGGGGGGTCGCAGGGGTTTTTTGGTATTGTTTTCAAAAAATATAATTTAAACTCCCACAATAATAGAACCGCAGAATTATGTTTTAAGTGAGTTTAAAAGTGAATTTTATAGCAGTTATTTTAAGGTAGAACAGTCTCAGAATGCATTATGTGTTCAGGTCCCCAAATTATTGTTTCCACAAATTCTACTTATATTTACTGTAAGACTGTTGCTATTCCTTTTTTGTTCGTTTCCCGCTCATGTAATAGTTACAGCATGTAATTTTTGGAACTAGATGTGTCTTTCTGTGACTAGCTAGTTATGCATGCAGCTCAAAGGTCATGGAAAACAATACAGAACAGATTACCTCCCGTATTTATTACAGTGAACTGTAACACCTTAGACAAATGCTCTGATTTTCACTAAAAACAACTGGGAAAATTGTTGGGGTAGTGCATGGGCCGAGTTGTTGATGTTCTGTCTTCTTAGAGTGTGCATGGAACACTGAGAGGTTTCTTCTTTTTAATTTATTTATATGCACATTTTACCAATTATATTTTCTCTTCTACCATAAGTGGCTGTCCTGAGAATGGAGTTACTTGGTTTAGCTGTAAAATATCTTTCATTGGCTAAACTGAGCTGTGTGAGTAAAATGGCCTGACATTACCACACGAGACCTTTATACAGGAGAAACAGCGTAAGTATCTTCACTCATTAGTAATACTTTCTAGCCTCCATGTTTGGATTTGTGTATGTACCCAGGTGTTATGTTTTATTGAGCATTTAAACTTCAGATTGTCCCATATGGTCAAGTAATCAGAGGCACATAGCAAACTTTTCAAGTAGCTTAAGCTGTTACACTGATTTACTTTAGGGTTTGTGCTGATTCTTCATGGGTTTGCTTTTAGTAGATGGGAATGTTAACTCGATTTCTATTCTCGGCTCTGAGAATGTGTAATTAATTGAGTAAAGAAAAAAGAGCCTTTCCCATGGGGCCCACTTTTTTATTGTTATAAATATACGAAACTGAGGCCTTGCTAAGACCTTCTGTGGTTACGAGTCCTTCCTTCTGAAAACATGGATTACGCTGCACTTCTTAAAGATCTTAAAGGTCTTTTTAAGGGCAAAAGTCAATCTGTACTTGGGAGAATTTCTGCTGAGCGACTTCGGCACAACCAGGTAACAGATGGGTGATGTACCTACTTACCTTCCAGCACTCTTTAGTATTTAGAGAAGTCATGCAAGAAAATTCAGTGAAGATACCTGTATCCTGTAAAAGGTGCACAGAATCACTGTAAGGTCTTCAGTTTGGCACAAGTTACCCTTCATTCTATCAGAGTGGAACTGTGGCAGCTCCTGCAGTATGCAGCCCTTCTCCCTCCCCCTTCCCAATCCTCCACCTCTTTCAGGGTTTATTTCAGATTGCATTATGCAATTTTAGAACAACTTTGTTAGCCTGTGGACACAAGCCCTCCATATGATTCTGCCTCTTCTTAAACTGAGCAATTCTATTGCATTGTTGCAGCGTGTTTTCTAATTACAATCAATTCTGTTTCCTGTGTCGACGGACAATCTAGTAACAAAATAGTTTCAACTAACCACATAATTACTGGGCAGTTCTGAAGTGGCTGTTTGTCTTCAGGCACGTACTAGTAATTTTTCTGCATCGTGTTGGCTGGAAAATAGCACAGCTTAGTACTGACAATTTTTAACTACTGCAGCAAAACTCTGGATGTGCTTTTGTTCACACAGCTTGCATTTGGCAAAATAAAAAAGAAATAATTTCTCCCTTTAGAACCATTGAAAATAAATGAGAAATACTAAAAATTATGGTTTAAAACCCCCTTTATTCAGCATGAAATCCTAGAAAGGCACATACACATTGATTCAGCTTTGTGACTGGAGGGCTGCACAAGCTCATTAACTGAAGTACTATTAACAGTGTTGCTGGCAGATGTTCTCTCTCTCTTTAGCATGACACCTCTCTAACTGGCACGTGGAATGGGGGTTATTACAGTATGAGATTATGCGATAGTGGTGTGTTTGCATTTTAAAAACATTTTCAGAACCTTGTGTATTCAAAGCATCATCCTAAGGCATCATTTCCAATAGGTAGTCAGGTTTTGTTCACAGAGATCTTTTTTTGTGAGTTGCGTGAAAGGAAATGGTTCAGGTGGAGTAGGTTTTAAATAACAGAACAGTTCCCAGAAGATCAGGCTATCAGCCACTCGGATGCTAGATTGAAAGAAACTATGGAAACACTGAAACTTAAAATGCAAGTGGGAAATCGAAAACATTTTTAAATATACCAGTCAGGCACTTGGAAATCCATCAGGTACCATTCTGGAATAATGCTGAGCTCTCAAAATGCCAGCTTACTTTGCAGAATGACTTAAGAGGACTATCAAAAGGTGAGCAGAAATCTAGGCACAGAGCTGGTAACAGCTATGATTTGGCAGTCAGCATCCCACAGTGGCAATAAAGGGCAAAATGAGCTCTGTATTCTTCCCATTCAGAATTAGTGTATGTAAATTGAATACTGCTCAGGAGAACAGGAACTCATGATGTTTATGTTTGGTTTAAAGAAAACAAAGTAAAACAGTAGACTTCAATGGCTTAGCTAAAGGCACATTTGCATCTGTGACCAGAGCTGGTTGTGGCAGGAACTGGAATGTCTTATGCAGCTGTAGGGGAAGATGATGGTGGTCTTCTAGAGGAGACTTTGGAAAAAAAAGAATTTTATTTGTTCAGAACCTATCTGGCAGCTGGTAGGTTCTCACAGTTCATTGGAGCAATAGGTAATGGAAAAAAACTCCTCTGTGATGATTTACAAATACTTTCTGAGTGGATGCATATAAATGGCATGATGTCCAGAAACCTCCTCCCCTTAGTTCAGATTTTAAGATTTGGCATGGCTGAAAGCATTGTCCAAGTTCTTTAAGAGATTCGGGGACAAAATTACTTGAAGCCATCTCAAAACAGGGGGATAAAAGTTTTAGACATAGAAACCATTAAGTAGCTAGTACTCAACTTCATGAGTGTAAGTAAGTTACAAAGTAAGACAGAAGAGTTGGTATGTGGCTGCTGGCTACAAAGGCTTGCTAAAATAAACCAACCAGAATTATTCTGCATCTGGTTGTTAAGACATGTGGCCTTCCCTTTGTTGTTAGTAGCCTGTTAGTTCCCCTTTCTTCCTCACCACCAGCTAGTCATTACAGCAGACTGATGCAAATGCAAGACAAAGAAAATAATTCTGCTTTTTCTTCTGTACGCAGCCAAATAAATGTGTGTAACCAGTGTTTAAAACCAGAAGATACCATTCACAAGTGGTGAAGTGCTGCCTTCTCTCCTAGAGACACCTGGCAACTGTTACAATCTTGTTGCCGCAATGGAAATATCATAGTCCTGCTGATTACATCAACAAACTGCAGAATTTTGGGGTTTGCATCATCCATCACATTTTTGAGCCCAGAAAAGAATCAGAGGCTTTGGGGTTTCTGCATGAGGTAGCAAAAAATTACAGAAATGTACATATGTTTTAATGACTACATGCTTGTTGTTTTGAAGCTCACCAAAGTTCTGACTGGTGAGACTGGCACATGAATCATTTAAAATAATGCTTCTGGATATTCATTTAAATGAACTCTGCAACTGCCTTCAACCCTTTTGCTATTTTCAAGTCTCATACATGCAGCATTGCAACTGATGATACACTTCTTTTCTTTAACCATGATGTCTTTGTACCTTGGAGAGAAAAATAAATAAATATTAAAAGAAACTTTAATATTGCAGCACAGTTTTATGATAAAGGTTAAGAAACAATTTCAATGAATCTCTGCTTTCCTAATAGGCAGAAATACCAGATTGGGTTAAACTTGTGCATGGAGCTTGTTTATTTCTTCAAGAAATTGTGCCATTTTGGTCAGTGTATGACACAGTGCTGTGTGATCAGCAATGTATTTTCTAGATTAAAAAACATACTAGTGCTTTACAGGACAATTAAAACTATTTCTTCTTTAGGTCACATTTTGGCAATCCATATTGCAAACACAGTCTTCTCGTTACAGGATGTGTAGTTTTATATTTTCATGATGTGTATGAACAAATGGTATTGGCGTCGTATATTCAAATTGGTAATGCAGAAAAACAATCTGAACTCCCTGTAGTTTTACCTAGGAGGAACTGAGGCTGGATGAAAGTTAAACCGTTGCTGTCTTCCCTGTTTTTTACCCCTTTCTCACAAAAAATTTAGCAGCCACAGTACAGGTTTTACATTAAAAGACATAATGTGGCAAAGTGCTAAAGAGAAGGGAAGATGGGAAGGATAGAATATGCTAGAGACCAAAGAACTAAGTTATTTTTAAAAGAAAACACGGTACAGGTATGAACAGTGGCATATAATTAAGGATGAATATAAAGGAACAGTGCCAGCATGCAGTGCTTGAATCAGCCAGACTATGTCCTAGCTCCACCAAATGAATCCTGCTGGCACCAGAAAGGGTCTAAAGATGTTGAAATTAAGAGAAGAGAAACACCACAGATGATGCAAGAAGAGCAGAATGCTTTTGACTTCAGACATCCCGAAAATTTAGTTGTAATGAAATGTTTCATTAAATTACTTTTGTGAGTGGCTGTCAGCACTCAAGCAAAGGAATACAACAGATTCCATGACAAAGCCCAGAAATGGTCATCATTCACTCTAATGAAAAAAAAGTAATGATATTCTCAAGGTTACACTTGGGCATAAAGAAGGTTTGTGTAAAGCAGGGATGAACTGACTGACACTGTAGTCAGCTGGCTGAAAAAGATCAGGGCTTGACTTAATGCAATCAGTGGTGGGAGAGCCTTCCCTAAAATGGGGTCAGGTGCTGGAAAAGAGAGTAATGGTTGTACAAGGACAACAATTATCAATTCCCTCTGGAGCCACTTAGGGAATGACAAGAGATAATTAGCTTAATTTGAAACAAAGGCAATTTACATTAGGTGTTGAGAACAGTTCTATCAGTATTATTGCTGATAAGTTACTGGAATAGCTCTTAGGAATTTTATGAATTTCCTCTCACTGGAGACTGAAAAGAAGAAATCGGACAAGCACATTTGGTGTATTTTGTACTGCTTCACGGGACAAGAGAGGACTAGATAATGACTCCCAAACTGCTGTATTTGTGATGGTGTCTTGACTCTACACGTACCTGAATTTTCTTCCCACAGAGGACTCCAGTATAACCAGGACGACAGGAGCATACGTTAGGCAATACACACTTGCCTCCAAACAGACACTTCTGGTTGCACACAGCTAAAATGGGAGAGGTACATGTTTGGCTTTACTCATGAAAACAAACTTGGTGAAGGAAAAGTGGCTACTATCTCTATACGCTTATTCTGCTGGCTTATAGGAACTGAGAATGTGGGAGGTATTTTCATAGGGAAACACGCCTCAGAGTAAGAAGAACTCACAGTCATGTGGAGCCAACAGTGTTCTTATACCTATCCTATCCCCATTATGCTTTGATGCAGATTTAATATGGGAACATGCTGAGGGCTTGCGTGAGACTGAGCAAATGAGGTGAGTAAGGTGGGGTTTAATGCACCTTACTACTTCAAGCTGTTGCAATGGCCTCTCAGAGCTGTTGTAGCAGAACACTGTGTGAAGAGTAAGCCACCACATATTGCCATGGTCCCAGATTACCATCATAGTCTGGAGTCTTCAGAACTGCTAGAGGAATCTCTACTTTTGATCCTGCCTTTGACACTGATTTGGGTTAAAATACAACAAGGATATAGGACTTCTAGGTACTATGTATGGCTGAAGCATTCTTATCTGTGTTGAAGCGAGAGGTTTCAGGTCACATCATTCTTACGTGTTTGACACTGGATTCCTTCCCACTGTGGGGGACAATGACACGTACTCGGCCCAATACACTCTCCACCGTTCTCACATTCCTGAAGACAGATGGCTGTACAAACATCATCACAAAGTTTGGTTATATCACAAGTGATTACTTTTACTAACTATTTGCATTTCCAGATGCCCACAAGAGGTTAAGAGAATCACATTATCTTCACTGAAAATCCATCTAAGTTCAGTAGGGTATTAAAGAAGAGAAGCAACTAGGAGCAAAAAGCCCTACGGCCAGAGCACACATTGAGATGTTCTGATGCGTCACAGATTGCTACAAAAGCCTAAAATACTGAACTAAGTCTGCACCACTAAATAGCTTTTTTTTTTCCCAAATGTCCTTTTCTAAACCCCACACCTTACTGAGAGATCTTTTCTCAGTCGTGCAGCTCAACACATGGTGAATCAACTCACGAACATTTGACCCAAAGTTATTTTCTAAGACTCATTTTTCTGCACATTCGCCCCTGCTTATAAAGCCATTATCTAAACCACTATTATTTCTCATTGATTAATTGACTATTTGATACTCTCAAATAGTCTCTTACATAGTATCCAAGAATATCTCACCCCCATCAATATGGGTAATTTTTTTTTTGGTGAAACTTTCCATTAATTACAGAAAGTAATAAAGGGAATATTGTTTTCCCTCCATGCCATTAAAGCTCATTGGCTATATCAGTATCTGAGCCTCAGGTGGGTACTGTGACAGACACTAACACTTTAGCTACTGGATTTTTACCACCCATGCTCAAGCTGATTTTCAGGCAGACTGTGCTTTTATCCACACTGCCACATTTTATTTATGCACTGTCAATATCTTCATTAATATACAATGTTACCCACAGCTGTGCTACCATCATAGTCCTATTTCTAAAGAGGATCTAAAGATGCTCACTGCGTCTTCTATTCTAGTCATTACCCCCTATTTTCACAGTTTTCCAATGTTTCACTGCAGTTCTTTTTCTGTTATATCTGCCTTTATTTCCTACAGCACAAATTGAAATTCTTTCACTTCATTGACTCAGTTCTTTGCAGAAATACAGATGTTTCTCATTTAGACAAGAATTAAAAAGAAACGAGTATTACTTGATTCACAAGAATTTAAAAGATACTTTGGTCTCATGATGCAGCCTAAGAATTGCATGGTATTAGCGCTCCACCCTAAATTTTGCTGCCAAGTTTGTCCTATAGTCATATATTACTTTTAAGGTACAGTTCTAGTTCTCTTGTTAACTACAAGCCACTTACGAGTGTTACATCTTTCTCCTCTCCATCCTGAAGGACAAGAGCAAATGTTTGGTCCTACGCACCTTCCTCCATTCATGCACCTTGGCTCACAGACACCTTAAAATCAAAACCATCTGCTGGTTAATACATTTAACTGATTACAGAATAATCTATTGGTTACTTTTGGATCCTGGAAGGATTTTAACACTGCCTTACTTTTTTCACATCTTCTGCCTGTATACCCCTCAGGACAAGAACAGACGTTATTTCTCATGCAATGACCACCATTCTTACAAGGTGGGCTGCAGACAGCTGAAAGAGACAAACAGGAGGGAAAGGCTGTCGTTTGCATTTTGTCTGACTCAGCAATACACTTCTAGGAAATAACAGTGCAACACTAAAATTCTGACTGCTTATACAGACATTCAGCATTATCAGGCCCATCTCATAAAAATTATATTAATATGAATTGGTGCTTATGTCAACAGTAAACACAAAATCAGATAATAACGGGTCAAGTTTGGCAATTGTATATGTATACAAGTAACCAGAGAAAATAAAACACAGTGGACCTGGTTGAACATTGTTCAAAGGTTGAGTGGAAGACAAGCAAATTCTGAGCCTCCCTTCTCTTTGGACATTCACTGAACCAGCTAGAAAATACAGAAGAATAATCTAATCTCTGCTTTGAACCACTTCTAAGGTATGTTACTTGATTGCGAATTTTGTGTTAAGACAACTATGTTTTCTCACAGATTTCCTCATAATGGCAGCTAAGAGGGGAGGGAGAATTAAAAAAAGATTACCATTCTGACACTGGGCACCAAAGAATCCATGTGGACAGAGGCAAACATCTGGCTTAGTACAGGAACCACCATTGAGACATACGGGGTCACACACAGCTGCAGAAACAGGGTCAGGAACAGTGGGAAGCATGACATCCAAATAAAGTCTATAAAACACATGCTTCTGTTGCAAGGACAGGAATTAATCACCTAAGATAAGTGCAAGTAACACCATTCACATAAAATCTTTACCCAGAATTTTAGGATCAGTGTTAGACTTTCTAGAGGTGCTGCCGGCTGCAAACTAACACACAGAGACATCGCTGCTGTCTGAGCCACGCGGTTCCAAATTTCAGACTATGGGAGGTCCTACAGATGCTTTCTGAGGAATATAGAAGCTGTAGGAGTGTTACCTGTACTGCATGTAGGCCCGTACCACCCAGGTTTACACTGGCAGATGTCTGGAGTAAGACATTCACCACCATTTTCACAGTGCCTGTTGCAAACCACTTCCATCCAAGAAGATAGACAAGAACAAAGGCGGTGGGTGGGGAAAAGAATGAAAGAGATGATAGGTTACAAACTACACTTGATCACTTGATTAATTTTTCAGTTCCTTCCCAGATATTAACACTGGAAATAACATACAATTCCACTAACTGAAGACGGATTCCTGAATAGATTAATCCAGTCTCAAAGCCATAAGAAGCTAGCACCAGAATATAAAGGTAAATAAATGTCCTTCCATGAAATTATCCATGGTCTGATATATATTCAGTGTTAAAAATCTAGAAAATTAGAAATAAATTCTTAAAAAAGAAAATAAAAATAAGAATTCAAAACTAAGAGACATGGCTGATTTGACAGACTCCAAGAAAATTCATGCACAAGTCCTCCATCATTTCAGCAAGTGCAGCTGCATGCTTAGAGTGACATGACACTAACAACCAAAGACATTAAAATATCATGGCTGTGGAAAACCATGAATCACTTCTTCAGGACAACATCTCATTTATCTCATTTTCTGTAGTACAGCTTAGCAAAGAGAAGCTGCTTTTTTTTTTTTTTTTTTTGGATCACATTTAAAACTAGAATGAATTGAAACTGAGAATGAAGAATCCTAGGATCTGATAAGTAGCTGAACAAGGGACTTTCTCAATTTGGGGTTAAAAACGCAGTGGCACATTCAGGTGAATGATATATAAACAGCATGTCTAAGTTTGGACTCTCTGAATAATAAAAATTACCAGTATGAAATCTATGCAAAATTTGGAGCTGCCAAATTGCAGCATGTAGAATTCAATATGCAAAAGACAATTTCTATGAGACTAACTACAATTTTTCAGCAAATTTTACAGTCTTCTTGACAGGTAAAATACCCAAAAGACTCCATAATGTCATTCTGAATTCAGTTTTCCTGTATCCCAGCTTTTTTGAACCACAATTCCCTTATACCAACTTCTGAATGTTCTCCACCATCTAACCAATTTAAGATCATAAAAGTTAAAAAGCTGTAAGGACATATTAAACATCTATGTTTGTTCTGAAGATAGTGTATGTGCAACACAGTCAATGGTTCCACATTCATGAATCATAAATAATGAACTATTTGCATTTGTATAGTACATAATGTTTTCGAAGTTATATGCAAACACTATCTAACTAATGTTGGAAAGACCCAAGTACGGGAGCCTTCCAAGTGCCATGGGTATTATGTCGATTGCCAGCATTAGACAGAGCGCATAAAGAATTTAAACCATAATTTGTTTTCTTGCTCCTGAAGAACGTAAGTGCTCTTTGTTCTTCCCTTATGCTTTTTTACTTACTTGTATCACATCTTGGTCCCACAAAACCATATGGACAAGTGCAGAGATTTCTGGCCAAGCACGTGCCTCCATTTTGACAGGGTGGTTGACAATGTGCTGCAGATAGAGAATTATGTTGTTCAATCTAAAAAGATGCATGGATTGGTTATGCTCTAGAAAAAGGGAAATGTTAGTAACTGACAGTGAGCAAAGAACTAGAAATAAAATAAGAAGACATATACAATGCCTTTTGACAGGCATAAGTAACAAGAACTATTTAATGCCAACAGCGTACACAGAGTCCCAACAGTGGTGGACACCTTGAAGAAATCTGAGACAAGTTCCAGATGGGACGTCCCACTTCTTGAGAGTGTTTAGCTTAGAGGCATCCATATTCACTGGTGAATTCTTCTACTTATTGGTAAAGCTAAATTCAGGAATGTCCAATCACATGCAACATTTATACAGTGTATATAAAAAAAGTATGGTATATAGCCATACTCATAGAGTTACTCAAACAACTCTGTTAAAGCAGAATTAACACATCTTTTTGCTGTCATGGAAGTTATTCACAGCACCCTTTAGTTATTTATGGATTCAAAAATTAAAAATATTCCATTTACCTTCCTCACAAGCAGAGCCACTATATCCTGGTAGACATTCACAGACATTGGGCTTAATGCACTTCCCGTGGTTTTTGCAATCAGGTCTGCACAGAGCTGTGCAAGAAAATTAACTGTAAATCTTCAAATAATTAATATGTGGATATGAGTTACCACAGGCCAAATCAAAGTGCCATACTCACCAGCCTGACAGTTATAACCAGTATAACCAGGCTTGCACTTGCAAATATTAGGTGCCACACACTCCATGTTTTTGCCACAGATTTGTCTACATCTTGCTGAAAGGAAATGAAGAAAAAGAAAGGAATAAGGAAAATGAAAGTGGCATTTCAGCACAACTGTCTTGTTGTGAACAGATAATAAACAGATCCATTAGGTCTCCTACTGTAAGAGGGGAGCCTGAGACACATCAGAAAAGTATTTTTAAGTGCATCCATACAACTAAAAGCCTGTAGGCTATGCCAATATTAATAATGAAAATAATAATGAAAATGAGAAAATTGGATACTTTATGCATTTCACTGATGACGAAGTTATAAAGATGTCAAAAGATTCTTTTCTGCAAAGCTTTTAGTGCAGTTATCTGTAATACCTCTGCAAGTGAAGCCATCTCCATAATAACCATAAGGACAATGACCGCACTTGACACCTCCATCCTGATGTGGCTCACACCGTACGCCAGGAAAACAGGGTAAATCAGAACAAGCTACTGCTTTAGGAATCACTATTTCACTCAGTTCTTCAGGAAGCATTTTTGGAGGTGCAGTGACTTCAACAAGACCAAAAGGTAAAGGACTAGCTTTATGCTTGACTAATAGTTGCGGAACTCTGTGAGCATTTTCACTTTTGAGTACTTTGCTCGGCAAAGAAAGCTCTTTGCTTGTATCTGCTGTCCTGCTAGAAGAAGTCTTCCTGCTGGTCTCAAAATAGCTGTAGGCCTCAGCTTGTGCCCTTATTTTCTCCTCAGGTGATGCAACATGGCTCTGTGAAGATGCAGGCATCACAGCATGTACTGAAGAACTTTCTTCCATGTTAGCAAGGTAACCACTGATGGTGCTGAGAGCACGAACAATGTTTCCAGTAACAGCAGGTTGTACAGAAGCACTTCTCTGAGCATGAAGTGACTTCCAAGCAGTGATGGGTTTTACTGTGGAAGATGATGGAGTGCTGCTACTGACCACTTCCGTAGAAATAAATCTCTCAGGTACATCTGTAGTACTGGAAATATAGGTCAAGATGCTTAAATCCTTCTCAAATGATGACTGTTGAAAACCTACAACATGTTAGAAAGAAGGGGGGGAAGTACAGGAATATTAAGAGACTTTTCTTTCCCTTCCGAGGGGAATGTCTTCTGAACACAAAAACATACAGCCCATTCTGTTTCACAAGGTCTCTCCATGTGCTACATTAGAAAGTATGTATGCAGTAGAACTAACTGGCAGAACTGGAGAAGATCAAGGTATTCTGCCTACATCCTTTCCCACTCTTTTCTTTGTCTGGAAGATAAGGAGAAAGCACCATATATATATATATATATATGAGGCAGACAGCAGAGATTTTTCCATACTGGGTCAATAAACAGCTTTACTGTCAGGGCAAATTACCAGCTCTATATACTCCTTCCAACTAGATAACTGAAACAGAGTTTAAAGAAAAGATGCTGCTTACGGTTCACCAGTGTGTCTGCGTGCTAATAATAAGCCCACAGTCTGGAAGCAGATATTCAATTATGTACCTGCTTATACGTACTGATGCACCATGGACAGTATTTTATGTGAATAATCCACCACCTCGTAACAAAAGTATTACCATATTTTCCTCTCCAAACTTCTTCTCAATTTCCTTAAGGTTTCTATGTGAGTTTTATTAGTGGTATGTTTTATAAATAACAGAATCTGAGTCACCCTCCTTGTGGAAAACAGTGCCAAGTGAAGGAAATATTCTTCATATTCTGCCCAGGAAAAGAGTGTGGTCTGGTGCGTTGTGGCACTGTAATCCTGGCATGCCAGAATGCTGTATGTGGGGCTTTTAGCATTATGGAACAGAGGAGGAATGAAACTGGAGGAGATTATTCAACCTAACTTAAGCTCAGTCTAGCTAACCCCATTTACTACTAGAGAATGGTCTACAAAAGGTTAAACTTTACTAAATCATATCACCGAGTGCTGTCTCCCACTGTGGAAAAGCAAATGATTTTGCAGCTGATGAAGAATATCCAGCACTGGCAGCAGAGTAAAAGAGTTTTCCTCCTTCCCCACTAACAACTCAGAGATAAAGGCACAAGACACATGAGAATTTCCTGCAAAGAAAGCCTCAGCAGGCACAGAGCTGGAAATGCCAGCAGCAGCGTCTACTGAGTTCTGAAATTAACACATTCACTTGCTATATCCTTCACCTTTCCTTTGAGTTAAAGTAGGAAAATGTCATTCGACATAATGCCACAAACTTTTGCTTATCTCATACAACAGATGTCCCTATCCCCATGTTGCCTATTTTATGTCAGTGGTTAGTCACAAAAACAAAAGGCAACGGTAAGAGTGTCATATATCACATTGTCAATAAAATTACTAGACTGACCTAAGGGATTTGTTGATATTGACATTTCAGACTCATTTTTCAGATCAGAATACACCACCAGCACTGAATTAAATTGTCGAACTGAAAAATTAAAGTGAATAACATAAAACTGACTAGAACCTTTATTTGCCAGCTATATTCTTATCAGTATGTGAATCAGAAATTCCATTTTCTTCATGAAAAAATCACCTTTATTCCCTCCAATTTCTCTTGTGGAATCCTTTCTTTCAACCTTAGTGTTTTCAAAGCTTTCTAAAAACAAAAGATGTGAAGGTACATTAGTAGTTACTTTTGCTTCAGCTGCAAATAAATTACAAACAGAGTTAAAGTTTCAGTAAATAAAAATAATTCAAAATTCAGAAAGTGGATAGAGTAAAAATTGTTTCTTAAAAGCTTTCTTTAGAATATTTTAAAAATGCAAGTTATTCAGTAATTGCATTCTAAATAATGTTTGGACACTGTACTTGGCAAGTGCCCTGATTTGGGTAAATAGTTAAACAGTGTTAAGCTATGCTAAGCAATCAAATAGAAAAATATTTTAGGAGTAATTGCTCATATTATGAAAATAATGCAGAAAAAAATTACATTTCTTTATATTTTTCTTTGAAGTAAAAGAATTGGGTATTTTGTATCTATTTTTTCTAGTCACCTGGAAAATTGTTTTACAACTATGTGACTGAGTACAGTCTGATGTTGTCATCAACTATGATTTTGTCTCAGCCACCAACAGTCAGAGACACAGTCCTGTTTTGCTCACTATTGAAAAGAGTTCGCACAACCAAAGGTATTTTATCTGAAGGACAATAAAATAACAGCATTCTTTTGTAAAACAAATAATTTTACCGTAACATGACTTTCCGTCTCCTTGCAGATTATCTGGGCATGGACCACAATAGTAAGAACCAAAAGTATTGAAGCAAAATACTCCAGGGAAGCAAGGACTGGATACACATTCATCTACATCATCTCGACAATTTCTACCTGCATTGAAATACAGATTTTCTTTGATAATATTATGACACTAGACTTTGACAGCATGTTTATAAAAGATAAAAGATCATGATTCTAATATATGCAGGTACTGAAATATAGAAAGGACATCTATCAATTGCAACACAGTACTTCAGTATATCTAGTAAGCACAGCTGACTAGGTTTGCTATTCACATTTTTCATCTTATATCAGCATCTTGCTTATTATGGAATATGGAGAAGATGGGCTGTAGGAACTACATGTTTGTCTGCAGGCACAGGAGGAATCACACTGTAACAAAACTCGTCATTCCCGTGTTTCACCCTGTTGCTGAGTTCACCCCTGTGGAGGAAAACAATGGAAATTTGCTCTCATAAAATAAACAACCATTGTATTCATGCAAGAAAAATCTTGAAGTAGATCCTATAACTTTATCACAAGACCATAAAATTTCTTCATACTCTAACAATAACCTGTTTACAGTAAAAAATAAAACAAACCCAAACAATGTAGACATACAATTAAAAACCCTTATTTATTACTCAATGTGATAATAAAGTATCAATTTACCTTGAAGTTCAGGTGGACATTCACAGTAATAGCTGTTTATTCCATCCACACATCTGCCAATACCACACTGGTTAACTTTACAGTCATCAGTATTCACTTGACAGAGATCACCTTCAAATCCAGCCACACATACACAAAGATATCTTCCACTTCCAGGTGGGAAATTAATGTTTGTCACACATGAGCCATTATTTAGGCAATCACACGATTTTACACTGACCTACAAGACATGCCCAAAAAGACGATTTTCTTTTTTTAATAAACTAGCAATGAGTTTTGTAATTAGATAGTTTAAACATGTTACTGGTGGGTGTCATTTTACTGTGATATTCATTACCTCTATTTCTACCTTAGTCTTTGCATTGCAGTCATCTGTCAAAGAAAATGTTAATTTATGGAGATTCACTGACACAGCTTTCCACAAAAGGAGACCTGATGGGGAAAGACTGGCACCTTCTGGACCAGAATCCAATGTGAAATGAATAGCAGAGCCCTCTGGATCTGAAGCCAAAAACTGATATACAAAATCTTCTCCATAAAAAGTCTGTAGCATACCCCGAAAATTTTCAAGCACTGGAGGCTGGTTGTCTGTAACAAAGGAGATATTTCCCTCTTTTAAGCAAAAGTGGCAATATACTTATAAATATTAAAAGGAGGGTATCTTTCTATTATGGAAGTCACATGTAATTATTTCTCTTACATTCTAATGTAATTTGAATGGCACAGGAAAAACATTCGGTATTTTCATTAAAACTGTAACAACATAACCAAGAAATTACTTAGACTTTCAACCACAAAACAAATTACTGGTAAGTCTTAGCTGCCTGCGCTGTTGAGCACTAACCTATTTGGCAGGAATAACTAGATTTCTAGAGACACCAGGTGAAAAGAAATAAATACAAGCACAAGATCTGTGAAAGAGAGAAGCAGATGCCCTGTGGAGAGTTTAAGTTTTGAAGCTGGGACATAGGAAGGTCATTAAGACTGCTAAGTTTTGGGTTACAGTGAAGTGACTGCTCCATGCAAGAACCCAACCACAGTAGCAGAAACCATGAAGGGAGAAGAAGCTGTAATCTGTGTCTGAGCAGTTTGATTCTGACACCTTATTCCTAATGTCATCCATGCTGGAGGAAAGGCTGTGCTCCTTGGCTTTATGGAATTGCCTCTTCCATTTCTGACTTGGGCAATATTGAATTCCAGTCCACAGCTGTAAATGGAAATCCCTTGACTCCCTGACTGCTGGATGAGTTTAATTTCATTCATTTAATTCAGGTTTCATTCTTTTGGTATAGGTATAGCTACCTTGGCTTTCAGTACAAGTTTGGACTAGGAAAAGACTCAGCAAGACAGGCACCAGAAGTCCTATTCATACAGGACCCTTCCCAACCCAGGCAGAGTCTTGCCAGCACATTCACCCACAAAAAACATTGATGAAGCGCTTGCATTTGAAATCACAGAATCAATGTGGATTATGTCCAAATATTAAGTGGCTAATAAATATGACATGCCATTTAATTCAGTTTCTGTTCTCCTCTTGTCTGGTACCAGAATAATCTGCTGGAAATATGTTTAATTCCTAAATGTCAGGGACAAACATTTGTGGATGTAACTGTGCCAAACATCAAATCACTTCATCCAATTAGGCTGAGTGTGGTGAATTTTCATTAATTATTTGTAAAGGCTACTGGGGGGAAGGGAAGAGGAAGCCCAATTTCTACATGTATGGTCTGGAAAAAAAAGATCATTATCAAAAATTAGGAGAAACATCAGATGAAAAACCAAGATCAAATTACAAGCTAAAGTTGTGGGTACTAAGTTTTAAATGAAGAACTTAACTAGTTAAAACTTCACTATTTTATATATATATATAAAATCTTGGTATATTTGCAACTTAATGCTATTAAAAAAAGCCAACAACAAAACAAAACAAATCCCCAAAACTATTTAGAACTTACTTTCAACAACTGACCAAGTTAACTTTGATATGTCAGGTCTGCAGAGTAAACAAGGGCTGGTTGGATTTGTGTCGCCTTCACCATAACAGAGTCCATCTATGTTGCATGTTTTCTCCTTTTAAAGAAATGACAATGTGATTCATTAATTTTTGGTTATCAAACAGTAAAACTGGATAAACTTGTAAAGCATCAAATAAAATCTAATCTATCTGCACTTCCACTAAACAAGTTGTTTTTAAAGTTAAACAACTGACAGCATGTTTGGTTTTATTTGGTAATTATATGAAGTACTTTTGGTTCATCCCAGCTTCTCTTTCTGTGCTTATAATTTCTGTGCATGGAAACGCCCTTTTGGAAACCAGAACAGCGTACATCTGCTCAATTTTCTATCTGAAATGATGCATACTTTAATAATAAACAGAGAGAATAACGAAATACATACCTTTAATGTACATAACCCAGATTCTTGTGGTTCACATGTCTGACAGGCTCCATCATACAATATCATTGTTTTAGAGTTGCTATAAATGAACCCATCATTAGAAATCTGCAAGATGTACAGTAAAAATGGATTAACCCATACAGGTATCAACATATCACCAGCATGGACTGCTAACGTGAGCTTCAACTCACTGATACCTACATTTAGCTGTTTAAACTCGTAACAGTCATCAGAAATCTAATCAACGCTGCCGATAAGTCTGGACAGATATTTGACCAAGCACATGCAGGTGTCTACTTTAGGGTAAAATGAATAGCGTGTAGGCTATATTGACCTCACACAGGGATTTGTACAAGTAGACTGGGCTCAACTCAATTAGCTCATGTGTCTAATGCAATTTGAAATGCTCTAGGGTAACTATGTGGCCTTTAACTTCTACCCGTGAAGAACATGTGCCTTTTTAGGTCCTAGGGTGAATCTTAGGGTCCCCTTGGAGAAGAACACTCTCAAATGGCACTCAACTCATAAGCTTAGGTGATGAAATTGAGTCAAGCAAGCTGAGTCCCACCTTTAGTATCATTTAAAAAAGGATAATATCTATGCAGTATATTTTAATCTCGGTAGGAATATCTGTAAGTGAATACTTGAAATTTCTGCAAGTACCTTTATTTGCCACCTGGCAATGGGTTTGTCATCAACCAGATCCATGACATCAGACTGCTGGCCATCATTTGGTAACTGGCAGTCGACAGTCCTGGCATTTTGGAAGGCAGCTGGCATAGATAGAGGTTCTCCAGGAATCCATTGTCTATCACTATACTAAATGTTAAGACATAAAATCTGTTTTTCAGTGAAATACAGTATGAAAATATTTCTATCAGAGGAAAAAAAAAACCCAAGAACCAACATGTATTGCATAGTTTGAACAAATCTGATGTCTCTGCATTAGAATACAGTGGGTAATATTAAATGCCATTATTTGCACACATAGCTTTCTATGTAAGCCTGCTCCCATGGAAGAAAAATCAGAGAAGTCTTTCCTGCTACATGGCCCTTTGGCACTGCACTGCCAAGGACAAGCAGTTTTTCCAGCTGGAGAGTCATGGGAGGGTTAAGCAGTGGGTGATCCTCTAACAGCACTGATCTAATGCATAAGTGCCTCTATCCCTCCATCTCTGCTCCCATGAGAGAACAAGCTTTAGTTGAAAGAACAGATGATGTTTTTGGCAGGGCTCAGGTATCATTCCGGGTGCTGGGGGAAAACTGGCAGTTACCCATTAAGCCCTTGCACAAACCAAGAGATTATACCCTTAACCCTGAAGATGTTTCTTCTAAACTGCAGTGAGTACAAGTCATCCAAGGATCTATCCTGAGAGCTCAAGGTAACAGAATAGGTATGATAATACTATCTGACTGGAGTATTGATGTGGAAGCATGGATAAGCATACTGAAAATAAAGTTAGATGGATGTACGAATCCAGACAAAGAATCAAGAGAACAGCAAGATCAAAATAATTTTAAGCTTGACTAGGTTTTACTGAGCTGGCACATTTTTTCAGTTACTGAAGCCAGTCAAGATATTTATTCATTCCCAGTCCTGACATGGGGAGTCATCTGCTGATAAAGGCCTTGCATTTTATTTTTGTTTTGTCTTTTACAAACAGAAAAATAAAAGGAAAATAACATCTTTTTCTGAAAAGACATACGAGCTAATTTTGTTCCAACCAACCATTTTGGTTTTCTTTCATCCTATACTCAGTTAAGGAATTCACAGCAAGGGCGAGTAAAAGTGTAACAGCTAAATACTTCTAAATATCTCATTTTGAGTGCATTTAGTACTGTAACCTTCCAAATGCAATGCAGCCTATTTGTCCAGAAACCTTTTGTTATTAGCTGGAGGCAAGTTCGGGTAATTTTTTCAGAAACAGATTAACCTTTCAAAAATCAACTAAAAAACTTTCAGATCTACTATTTTCTAGCTTGTTAGGTTCATCAAAAAACTTATTTCTGCAATTCAGTATAAGAAAGAAGGAACTACAACTGTGTTCTTGCTTTCATGAGGTTAAAACACACTCTCATACTTCACAAAAATCCCAGTAAATTCTGGGTCTGTGTAATTATTCCAAGCTTCCTTGGCCACATCCCACACAAACCGCTATCAAAAGCTGTGCAGTAATCATTCATCTGTGAGGTACTTCAATATAGCATTCTCTGAAGCATTTCTTCTAGCATCAAGCACAAGACCTACATCCTCCTTAACATGGTCCATGGACAATGGACTTGATTTAACCTTTCAGAAATTAAAATGGAAAATATAAGAAATTCAGTGTGTATTAGCTCTAAATTCTTCCAAAATGCCTCTCCTATGAAATTTTGATCATTTAAGTTTAATCCTAAAATATGTGGTGTTCTATACTGTTGCAAGTCCATTGACATTTATGCATAAAGTCACTATTACTGCAGCCTGAAAATTAAACAAAGAAAACCAAACAAAACAAAACAAAAAAACGAAAAGAAAAAAGAAAAAACCAAACCTCAAACATCCTTTATTTGGTATTTTCAAGGAAAGAATTCTCAGCTTCCTCCTCAACTACAGGTAATAGCAGTAGCATTTATTTTCTAACCTGGCTCTTGTTAGAGAGAAGACCATCAATAAAAGTGATTAAATAGGAGGTTTTTGTAAGTTGGGAGTCAAATACATCACCACAAATAGTGTTGTATCAGAATAGGTTGCCATGAGTTAAAACTAAGACATTTCAAACTGTGATAAGTGAACTCCCAATAATTGTCTCACTGTGAGCTTGGACAAAAAGTCCCTTAACCTAATGGCGTGTAAACTGGCTCTTGACTTTATAATTTCAAGCCAACTTGCAGATGAGCGGATACATGCTGTGTTCAAGACAAATCCATAGCCAGCATTGCTTAATTTGTCGAAATCATTTCAGCATCTGCTGGAACTAGCTGAGGAAAACTTTGGTCTCAAGAACAAAATTTTTCCATTGAATGGTTCCCCTTTCACCAACTCCCCCCAGCATCATCACATCAGTGAAACCCAGTTTTACTTTGAAGCTTTTTTTTATTCTCATGTCTAATGTGACATAAAAACTTGTAATTGCCAACTGTTTATTCCAGGCTAACACTTGTAAACTGCTTGTAAATTTGCCTTGAGCGAATTCTAGGTCTGAGTAACAACAGTCTCTCTGTACAGCACAACATTTTTAGTCTCCTGTTCAAACCTGGGGTATAGAGCTGACACATATCATTAAACAGCTGTGGTATTCTACCCCAGGGAAATGGACAACACATCAAAAATGCCTTTCTCTTTTCATAACAGATTTATTATGTTTATAAAAGGGCTATTTCCAGCATTAGATTTGAGACAGAAATCCAATAATGTCTTTAACCTTGTTGTCCTTTTTCAAAGAAGTGGTACTTCAGTCCCTCTCTATAAGCACTTAAAAACCCGAACAACTGTGTACTGGTTGTTACTAATAGGTCTGCCCTTGCCCTTTTCTGATGGATAGCTGCCATATGCTGTTATGTTTAGCTGCTCGGCTGCTAAACATTCCCATTGGTTTGTATTTCTCTTATCATGAAGGAAATGGCAATCTTACAAAGACTTGAGTGTCTGCTGCAAAGTGGTGACTGCCTTTGCTTTTACCTTCTACTAAAGCATCGGGTTGTATCCACGTCAATGAATATGTTACACATTTTCTCCCTCATTCTCCAAGAAGTTTAAAACGTGATTGTTACTATCCAGGGGGACCTACCTGTAGTTTGATAATTTCACATTTCAGACTCAGTGACTCCCTGAAGCCATGTCCAAAAGCTCTCACTGATGTGCAGTCATACTGTCGAATATCACACAGCCCAGCATTCTCCAGCTCTGTAATTTCTGGAGCCTGGGCTTCAAAGAGAAGAGATTAAACAATGAATGTCAGTATATTAACACATTCAGATGCATTTACATTAAGCAATATGTATATTTCTCTATCCAGCTAAGAAAACTATACAAACAATGAAATCTGGACCTATCTGAAGGAAGTCATAAAGAGAAACATATTTTATTGTTAAAACGAATCTTAATACTAAAGCTAAGCTCTGTCTTCTCTTGAAACTTGAGCATTATGAAAAAGGGAAAAAATTCATGCGATAAACACTTTTGAATATGTGTTCTGCTTTCTCATCTTGCAGAATAAAATCTAAATGAAACTCAGGCTCTAGTAATAGAAACTGGAGAGGTTACAGTTTTGCAATAATTTATAATGGGATTTTTTTGTTTAACAACTAAACAAAAACATCTCAGGTAGCAGCAAACAAACTGGCTAAGATTAGAACACTCAGAAATAGTTTTTATGAGCAAAGCCAGTTTATTTAACTTCAAGAGGAATAAAATATTTCATCATTCTCTTATCTCTTTCTCTATTTTCTTTTAAATGGGTCACTAAAAGAAAAACATCATTGTGAAAAAAATATTAACAGGTTTTGTTTTGAAAGGATTTTGAATTCTGTAGTACTTTTCTTATTCTTCCAGGATACCCGCTTACTGAAAAACCAGACCAAACCAAACCAACCTGCCCAGCTCTCTTTGTTGTACTTTTTTCTTCACCATCAATTCTGCTCCCACCACATCTAACAGTTAGTTTACAGAGATGTAACATCACCAGAGAGAAAAACATCCCACTTACAGTAAATAAACAGGACCACTTAGACCATAAAAAATTAGGGAATGGTTGGATGTGGCAGATCTTCCCTGAAGAATGTGGAAACATTGCTAATTTCTTGGGGCAATCCTCTGGATTGCAAACTCACTGAGTGATAGATTTGTTAAATCTGACATACCAGAAACTAAGCCCACGTTTTGCCCTTCAGAAACTAGAAGGCTGAATAGCAAATAATTATGGCTGTATTAAAATGGAACTTGCTGGGTAATGAACAATGCCACTGCAGGGAACTCTTGTTGACATACAAAACAGGAGAAAAAGGCAGTAAAATAAATGCATGTTGCACAAGCACTGAGAGCATTATTAAGTAAGTTTCATTTTTCTGCCCCACTTACCAGACAGTATGCTGCAGTCATATGAGCCATAGCCTTGAAAACATGTACAGCCCCATTCCGTACATTCCCCATTACCACTGCAGAGACCGGGACATTTTAGTGCAATAAGTAGGCTCTCAACTGACTCTTCAAGTTCCTGTTGGTTGTAATTTATTTCTTCTAAAACTCTTTTCTCACATTCATTCTCTAGAAGAGCTAAGGAAGCTTCTGCCCAACTGAGGTCATCTTTCAGCAGCAAATCTTTAACACACATATTTATTGCATCCTCTATTCGCTGGCCAAGAAGGCCACCACAAGATCTTCCTATACTGGAATTAGCTATTGCCTGCTGGCATAGTAACAAAGCGCTAGACTCCGTGAGGCCAGAGAGTGTGGGCCAAGAAGGAAGAAACTTCTGGTCTGTGTCAGTGGCATAGTCCTCTGGGAAAAAATAACTATATACGTCTAAGCCTGTTTGGCTAAGACTTTGGAATAGAAATACTGGATGGTATTCATAATAGTTTTGGCGCTTCCCCCTACTTGTAACACGTTGACTTTTGTCAAGATGACTGCTGTAACGGTGAGAATTTCTTCTAATGCCCAAGCTTGAAGTTCCTTCTCTTTCTAGACCAGTATTTCCCACTGAGGTTGCAGAGACATGCGTATTTACTAGTGATGTTTCATGAAGTTTGGTTTGATTATCCTCCCTCTGCAGAAGTGTAGATAAATCCATTTCATGTGCAGATGAACGTTTCTTTAAGCCTCTGACAAGATCTACAGGACCAAGATACTCAGCAGTGACATCCAGTCCTGGTATCAAAGAAAGAAATTTACCATTTTCACTTTCTTTACAAGATGGAGAAAATTCTGACTGATAAACTGTCTCTAGTTTATTCACTGATCGATATAGTTCAGTGTCTTCAAGTGCACAGTCACAAAAGACCATTTTTCTAGAAGATGTTAAAGAAGCAGGTGTCTTGTCAAACAAGCTGTCTCCTGGTGAAATTCTAGAGAAGAAAGGAAAAGATGAAACTGTACCTGAACTGTTTTCATTGTTTTAGTAAAACAGTGATTGTTTTGCTTTTTGTTGTTTCATATTTCTACAACATAGATCACAGAATCTGCAGCATACAGCTATATTTAAAGACCAGCTAAATCACAAAACTATGAGAGTAACTTGTAATAGAAGAAATAAGAACAGATATTTTCTTTATACCTTGATACTTTGTTCAAAATCTACTCAAACTAGTCTTACCTTAAATACCAATTTGGCACTTCAGTTTCAATTTTCAATTCATTATGGAATATAACAATGGCATTCTAGCATTAACTTAAACACTTAGATTTTTTTTTTTTGACAGGTTTTTAAGAACATGAAGGAAAGGTTGAAAAAATGATGACATTTGATGGAAACAGAAGTATTTTGTTACCTCCATTCCTTAATAAAAGAAAAAGGAACATTAGCATGGTTTGGGATTTCCACCCCGCTTGTGGTGTGATAGTCATTCTCTGCACTTCCATCAAAGGTGCCACAGAGTCCCACTGTATGTCTGTAATCTGAACTGGGTGCCCTCAGTGTTATGCTCATTCCCCATTCACTCACATCAGCACGAACAAAAGCTCCAGAAGAAAACAAAACCTAAAACAAGATTGACAATATCATCATGAAAAACATTATTATTTTACCTAATAAAAGCAGGTATGTTTGCTGCTAAGGAACAATTGGAAAGCACCAGGCATATGAAGACATCCCATCAAATTCTTGATCTAGCTATTCTGGATCTGACAGATTTCATACAGCAATTCTATCTACAAAAGAAAAGCTACAGGAAATTATAAAAGTAAATGTGAACGTTTTAATTGAGGGCCACATTCTCTAGAAAGAACATTTAAACTTCCAATTCTGTAGATGTTATTTGGCATACTTAATTATCTGCATGCACAGCCTTCCCAGGTGACACTGGCATGAGTGAAACAGAGCAAACAGAGATACCATTCTGGAACACCAGGGCTTCTACATAAGTGCCTGCTGCACCTGAAAACTGCACCTTCCTCACAAGGGTTGAATTCTGCGGTTGACAACATGGTTCCACAAAGGTGTGCATGTTAACACATCCTAGCTTTTGAGGACATCATCTTTCACTTACAAGCAAAAAACACTCGCCAAAGGACTATAAGTGTAAAATAAACATTATGCTATTGTTTAATTTCGGAAAATATGTTTTAGTTCTGAAATTGGTGTGAATTGGTAAAAATAACTGTAGAGATAACCACTACATCCCCAAGTAATTTGCTACTTACTGTTACTTTTCTTCCTAGGTAGGATTCAGTGATTCTAACGTTGCTTCCTGTTGTGTCTCTATTTATTACAGATAACTGTGGCTGTGTCTCATGTACCTGACCACTGCACATGTCAAATGCAATTATATCACTTCCTTCTTTGGCAACAAAGCCACAGTTACAGGATGCTGGGTAGTGAAGACTTCCACATTCCCACTGGCGAACATGAACTTCAAAATCTCGAGATGTACTCTTGTAAAGAACAAATGTTCCCGTTTTAAAATTGTCATAGAGCCTGGAATCAAAAGAATAGCACGTGATATCAGTTTGGTTATAAAATAATGGTATAACATGCCAGCAACTTCATCTTAAAACAGACTTCTAATATTTGGTTTGCTCTGAACAAACACCATCATACTTCCTCTGTACAGCTCTAAATCAAAAAAAATTAAACCTGTTCACAGCAGAAAAATTAGGAATAAAAGAACGATCATGAGTCGAGTATATGTAGACAATGGTTGTGAATGGAAACACAACCAGGAAGCCACTGCCGTTCTGTTTGGGTTTTTTTTTAACAGTGCTTATTACAGGGAACTGGAGGATACTTCTCAACCTTTATGTTTCTACAGCTGCACACCTATGAGGCAAGAGCAGTAAGATGCATAACAGTGTGCAGCTGCTGAAAACTATGTAAGTACCCTTGACAAGATGATTTAGAAAGTCACATATTTTTAAAAAAGTCTGCTTTATTAAGACAAAGATGGGGAATGCTTATTCCCAAAGATTTGAAAATTATTTAAGATGAAAATCATTGGTAGAAACCCATAAATAAAGACTTCCTTTTTTTTTTTAACCCTTTTAACAGGGTTAGCCACCTGTTCCCTGAAGCAAGGTTAAAATAGCCAATTTAATGATTCAGTGGTGAAAGGGAGGGGAAGGAAATAAAGAAAAAAATACCAACTTTTGCTACAGCCTCTTGGCTATAAATGGCATTTGACAGTTAATTGCAGCATGGTGATTTGCTTTGTGTATAATGGACCAGCAGAAAAACTGCAGATGGCTACCCTACTGGGACTGCATAGGATTACTCGTGATTCAATAAGGCCAGTTCCTCTTCTATATGGTTCCTCAATTTGTAAAATAAAGTTGCAACAGACTTCATCCTTAAAAAGAAAGTTCTTTCCCCTCAGCTCAGCATTATGCTTCCAGATGGACCACATGACAGTAGACAGTAAATCATAAAAAAGCTTGATCACAACACACTAATGGTTAAAATGCTCAGTCAGGCCATCCCTAGAATTTCCACTGAAGGAAGAACCACAAGATAAGGATAATAATAACAAAGTCACTGGGATTATTACTAGTCACAGCACTAGCAGAGAAGCAATTACAACTTGTTTTTTCCCTTCTGTTATGAAGTTCACAGAAGAATGGGGTTGTGGGCTGAACATCCTTATTTTGAGGCCACATATCCTCCTCTTAGCCCTGCCACTTGAAGAATTATATTCTCTGCTCAGCAGAAGTACTAAGTCTCAAGTGTGGAACCTGTGTTTGCTGTGACACCTTCCATGGGTTAGAAACACTTTGAAAGACAGAAGCATACCAAAAACATGCCAGCTGTGGCCAAGGAAGCTGTCTTCGTTTTGTGAATGTCAGTGATGTGCAAGTAACAGCAGTGAATAGGTCACTTTCAGCGCTATTAATGAACTCAGCACAATGTTACACAGACATCAGATAACTTTTAGCAACTTGATCCTTGCAAGGATTCAGGTACTGACACCCAGCAATAAGGAAACTATGCTGTAGAGTGGAAGCACCTTTGCATTAAAACACTGTCATCTAATCAATTATCATTGTTCATATTTAAGAACATTCCTATCTTTCATAGTAAACAGACTGTACAGCAACCACTCCTCTCTTTAGCATACTCCTCTAAATAGTCCGTTTGCTTCACTCTGTTGCCACAAACCCAAAACTTGCATTTAGAAATACAAATATTTCAAACATCATCATAACTGGCAAAACTACCCTTATTGTCCAAGAAAGAATGTAAAATACAGAGTACAGTTGTGGAAAACTACAGTTAACTTGAATCACCAGCACAAATTGTAAATAAATAAGTAAATAGATAGATAAATACATCAACCCCCCCAAAACCACCTACAAAAAATCCCAACACACTTAAAATTAAGAGCAGCAACCCAGTGATTACCTTCCATCAAATGTAATTATATGAGGGTCAGTAAATGAGTAGCAGTAGGCAGTGGGTAGATCCTTTACTGTAATCTTCAAAACAAAGAAGCATATAGTGAGCCATGTCAGACTGGGAAACAGACATACTTAGGCATTATCTTATGCTGCTACTTTACACTCTAATAAATACATCATATTATACTTTTAATCAATCTGAGCTGTCGTATCAATGTAAAAAATAATAATAATTCAAATGAAAATGCAGCAATTCAATGAAAACAAAACAATGAAAAATTGACCACTTTTAGAAATCTTGATGTGAGTCGGCAAGTCATAACTGGAATAGAAGCTTCGTTAAGATCAGCCGTGTTTCTGGGCATTTTACAGAGCTTAACATGAAGATTTTCAACCTGTGTGCTTTCTGGAACATAGCCATTCCACAGGAAATTCTCACTGGATATAGGTTTGATTGCAATTCTGGTAATTCTGTCTCCATCCTGCATAAAGTCTGTCACAGCAGTGAAATAAATTACAGCTTGACTACAGATTCCGTTATTGCAGGGTTTCTGGAGAAGATCCACATGACAAGAAGAAAGAGCCAAGTTTAAACCTAAGTGCTCTTTACCTGTTTTAATAAAAACACATCATTAGTGAGTTTTCTGCTAAATACACCACACTTTGTAAACTACTATTAATCTCGATACTAACTTATTTACAAATATTTTAAGAAATTAAAATAATGATGTATTTTTCTTGCATTTGGTCATGCAAAACCCCCTCTCTACATCTTCATACAAACCCAAGAAAACGGTTTTGAATTTTACATTTTGCTAGACAAATGGAAAACATGATAGGCTTGCTAATGTGACATAAAACCAGTTGTCTGCATAGGCAAGTCTCCTCCTGGGGTTCACAGGACTTGGGCCTGAGAAAGTACTACAGAAAATGGTAATAATAGTAAAAAATGAGGACTTAATGACTGCATAGACAGTATTTGCAACACAACAGGTCAACAAAATGAACCGAATTATAAATTTTGCAAGCATTTGGGCATTCTGACCATTTCAGTTAAAGAATATGTGTCTGATATGGTGAGGCACTGGAACAGGTTGCCCAAGGAAGTTGTGAATGTTCCAACCCTGGAGGTGTTCAAGGCCAGGCTGGACAGAGCCTTGGGCGACATAGTTTAGTGTGTGGTGTCCCTGCTCATAGCAGGGGGGTTGGAACTAGATGATCTTAAGGTCCTTTCCAACCCTAACTATTCTATGATTCTATGATATTCATAGATGCCAAAAACACCTACTAATAAGTAACAGGTTATGGACCCATTCTTCCAGACTTTCAGCAGCAGTATGTACAGCCTGTGAATATTTTGTTTTAACATTTTAGAAAGTATTTACAATGTAACAGCTTCTCCAAAGAATGAAACCAGCAGGAA